CACACACACACACACACACACACACACACACACACACACACACACACCTTGAGCGTCTTGTCCTTCAGGTCCATCTTGAGCAGTGAGTCTCCCACCAGGTGTCTGAAGCCACAGCCGTAGAAGTAACGGTACGGCCGTGTGTTGTGTTTCCCATAGTTGATCTGAGGGAACTCCAGGCCACCGTACTCGTGGAGGTCGTCTCCATGGAGATCCTCGGCTTGGCAGAACACCTGTTGACAGAAAACCGGATCAACGGCCCACTGTCACTTTTGATCAGCAGAGTTTTTACTACGGGCCTCCATGAGTTCACACGAGCTTCAGTGGGTGGATGTGAATGGAACCTTGGTGTCTGGATCACAGAGGATCTGTCACGGCCCTATTACGTCACGTCAGCATCTTAAAGAAAGCCCTTCAGCGTCTTTACAACCTCCGACGCCTTCAGGCTGCACCCACCAGGTGCTACACACCTGCAGGCACTACACACGCTATCTGATGTGAGCTCTCAGCTCTACTAGACATTAACACCAGAACGTGCAGGACGACCTGCATCACCCCATCAACAGACTCTTCTCTCTGCTGAGGTCAGGGAGGCGCTAACGCGCTAATTTACTTTCATTTGTTCGATCCTGTTTTTTGTACAACTACAGGTTGTACTGTGTCTGACTGTGTATGTGACAAATAAACGTTGATTTGATTCGAAGATATGACCTGTGTCATCCCTGCTGGTTAAAAATGTGGAAGTGGAAATGGCGACTACATGTGTTACTCTGTGACTGTGATATGAAGAATTCTATTCCTTTCTTTGTTCATTTTGCGTGTTCGCCTCCATAAATACCTATGAAAACAAACGCCCCAAACCACAGACTTTATTGTTATATTTCTATATTTAGTAATCCCATTACTGTTACATTACATATTTAGCGGGTACTTTATGGCATGTAAGTAGGTGTGGCTGATATAACATGAGCTCGTCAGGACGCATTTCTGAACAACTCACCTTGTCTTCGCTGATTTTGACACACGTCGCTGCACTGGAGGGCTGTGTGTTCAGGTTCTGGTCTGTCGGGGTTTCACCGGTCACGTGAAGGGGAAGAACAAAACGCCGGGGGAATACCCTGGACATGGTGTTGTACACCTGGGAACGACACCACACAGGAACGATGCATTATGGGTGAAATTTAAAGGGTTCCTCTCTTACAGTATGTCTTTCTGTCTCTTGGTGCAAAGGGAGACGTAAACAGCAACAGTACACTTGAAAACATAAACTGATTATTAACAGATCTGAAACTATTGACAGACTGAATGCAGAAAAAGATTCTTCCTTAAGTATTCAGCAATTATGAATTACTAAGGCAAAAGATGAACAAAGCCCAGAATGCTGAGCAGTTATTTATTATTTTACTTTATCTCCGGGTGTATTCTTTTCTTTAGTAACTGCCCAAAAGAGTGTTGACTCATGCAATTATATACTGACCTCATCTAATGCATCTCCCGACTTGCGTAAGTTCTGGATGAGGTAGTTGTTGATGGCTCTGCCGTCATCTGAGCAGCACATGTCGAGCATCAGGAATCCATCTTCCTCGAAGGCGTTGATCTGATGGAAGGTGGAGATGGCTTTGGTGTGGTACTTCACTGAGCTGACCTGCGGTACAGAACACACGATTAGATGACTCGGGATCCAAATCAAGAGGATCCTCCCCCCGAATCAGGATTTTCCACCGAGTTGCCGACATTAGACGTAATTAAATCACAACAGTCACATCCCACCTCGCCTGATTGCTTGTCAACGAGATGGAAGACCGTCTCCTGCGTGGGATCCCAGTAGATGCCGTCACTCAAAGCCCTCCCCCTCAGCTTGCACGTGACTATCTTCAGCAGGTCCATCTTGATCGGCTGCTCGATGAACACCACGTAGTTCTCGGACATGGCTGGAAGCGGGAGCAGGGTGTTACAGGGCTTTGTAGCTGAAAGATACAGACATCACTAACGAATGATACATCCAGGAGGGCTGGCTTACCGAAGCTGTGGTAGTAGGAGGGATGGGACTTGTTTGCAGGCACAATAGAGCAGAGTATTTTGGCTCCTTGTAGGGTGTCTTTGGCATCTGTCTTCTCAGGAGGCACTCTGATGATGTTGTACAGGGCTCCTGGAACAGACAGGACAATTTGGTTATATATACATATATATATATATATATATTTATTTTTTAATAATGGAGGACGAGAGACAGATCATTTAGCTCTTGATTTACGTAAACTCTTGTGGACGATGGGACTAACCTTTGCTTCCATAGGAGTTGCCCATATTGTAGGTGGTACCGTCAGGGTCATAGTGTGGGTGGGCAGTGGCTCCATTCACAGCAATGAATTTGCTCCAGTCTACCTACAAAATGTTGCGGAGAAAGACGGCAAGACGATGATTGTGGCTGAAGTAACTGGACTACAAGACCAAAGACAGATACTGCGTTTATATGTACCATATAATTAATGACATTGATATTGACATATATTGCTCCGTGATGATCATCATGGTACCTTTTCCAGTGTTTCTAAGTTCTCTGGGTTCACTTTGTGCATAAAATTGGTCTCTGTGCTGACAAAGTAGTCCCCCTTGTACTTCACAAAGCTCACACTCGCATTGTCCGTGGGCGCTGTAACAGAGAGAAACACAGGATTACTGGCTTTTAACAGAAATCTAAGTATAGCATTTTGCTGCTCGCAGTTACACAGAAAAGTCTGGTGGGAATGTGAAACATTCAGTACAGTACATGCCCCTTCTGGTCCCCAGCTGTTGCACGTGTTATTATGTAACCTTTACATATACAGTACTTTAGAGGCTCCACCCCTGGCCTCAGTACAAATTCAGAAAGACAGAATTTATACAAACATCTGACCTGATCTTTCTGTGTTTCATTTATACCTCAGTTAAAAAGATAGAAAGAAAGTGAAGCTACGTTCTTGCACAATGAGTCAACTACAGTTGGTTGGCCTGAGCCCCCCTCCTTTATGTATACTTTGTTCCATCCCTTCTTATTCGGTGGACTCACCCATCATCTCAAAGCGAGACAGGAAGCGCTGGAAGATGTTTTTACAGGGGTCGGGCATGGCGAGGGTACCAAATTCTGACATCACGATGCGGTCCTTCTCGCTGTTGTTCTTGTAGGCGTCGCTGTGCAGGAACCGACTCATGTATGTCACCCTACCTTTGTTGATCTTGAACTGGTGTAGCATGGCCATGCCGTCAAACCAGTGGTTGTAGCTGTGGGGAATTATAGACTTAATCACATCTGATTGGAAACTTTTTTTCTCCGTTTGTGTTGTGCAGCAATTACTTTCAGGTGTTTCCAACTCACTGCGTGTTTCCAAACTCAAACTTTCCGGGTCCGTTGCGGAGGAGTTTGCCATTGATCCAGGAGGGAATGGTGCCTTGTACTTCAGTGGAGATTGGCTCAGGGGTCTCTTTTACAGAGCGGACCAGAGGTTCAATTGTCTCTAGTCCCTTTAATGCTGAGCTAATGCATTCCCTGGCCATGCCATTGTCACCAGGCTTAGCATCATCTGTAGGACACACATATACATTCCCATATTATTTGTACGTAAACCAGATGGACAATAGGGAGATGGTCATCTTTTGACTATGAAACTATTAGGCAACCATCATTTTTGTGTGTGGCAGATAACACACGATGCATTTGACTGCACCAAATTATAAACCAGTTAATCTTCGTTTGATTCCTCCCCTGATCAACAAACAAGCTGATGATGTTTTCTGTTCATTGACATTTATCAGCACTACATTTGGGGCTAAATTGAGACTAAAGGGCAGTTCCTCGGAGGGAGCAATAACAACTCCGTCACCGTGTCTTTGTGTTGGTTGGTTTCACTGCAGTCTTTATTTTACAGACCTGCTCTACAACTTTTCAACACAGAACTCTCAACTGCTCTAACATGTAGGGCAGATTCCAGTCTGATTGAATCATTGTCACCAGTCAACTCCACTGTCACCATGAACTGAGAGACACTTACCCCAGTGTTACAGCCAGGGAACGGCAGTAGTACTGTTGGCAATGATACAACTGCTCAGTCTCAGATTTGGCAGTAATACCAAGAGCAGAGTCAGCAGTTGAATTCCAAATTCAATTTGAGCAACTAAGGTCCTGTGAATTCCTTCTACTTTCAAAATAAAAGCTGTATTGTCTGTATTATCTTCACATAAAAATCACATTCTGTCTGTTCTTAAGAAGCACATGCCTGATGAAACGAAGAAAACTCTGATGGAATGGTAATGATTTGAAACGACGAAGAAGCAACAGATGTCATTTTAGGAATCTTTTTACAAAATAATTATTCGCACCTTAAAGGACAGAGTAGCCTATTCATTTAAGTTCTCAACAAAACTATTTGGCAACACAGTCATTAAGCTGCATTATGAAAGGGGACATGCAGAAAGATATTGTTTTTTTTCAAGATGTGTTGATCAGTAATGCAACTTGATATATTAAAAGGGTTAATATTACAGGTGCCTTGTCTCTTTTCACGTGTGAGCGACGCAAACATTGTTTACCTTCAGTTATGTCTAACCCACCATCTGTAGATAACACGAGAGTCTTCCGGGAAATGTATGATGCTCAGTGTTATGACTTTATACAGCCTATTGTAGATATTACCGACATTTTGGCAGTACACGTTGCAATTACAGCATATTGTCAATGCTAAATTTATTCAACAATGTAATTGTTGCAATTTTGTCCCCCTTAAAAGTACTTGTAGCCTGTGTGGAGAATTTCAGTATTAAACGCATTATTAGTAGGATAAAATAACACCCCTAGTAGTGAGTAGAAGTGTCACAATAATAAATATGTTAGTCACAATATGTTTCCATATGGAATGTATTATAGGTTTACAATATTCTTACTTATAGAGGATATTATATGTTACAGTATATTAACTCATTGAATGTATTAAATCATAAAAGTATAGTCACTGTAGGTATTAAAACACTAAGAATAGTTTTGAGGGTCAGATAGGGATTCTGGGTGAGGTGTCAGACATGCAGCAGCAAATGGAGGCGACCTCATTGGTGGAGGCATTGGAGGTCAAATGCCAAGCTGACCAGCAGGACAGAGAGGAGGAGTCCAAGATGTTTTGCTAAGGGATCGATAATGGGAGGGGACAGAATTCAAATGAAGCCAATCACTAATCACCACGGAGGGTCATTCACACGTTTTATGACAGTATCGGACACTTTCCGACTCTCAGGGGATACAAAAGACAATGTTTTAGGGAGTTTACCTCAGATCACTGCAGCTCTCATTTTCAGCTAACTGGGAGGAGATGCGTGTATGTGGTCTCTGCTCTCGAGAACATTACTATTGATAGTTAATTCAGTTTGTAAGTGAACTTTGTGTAGTACATTAAATATTGTTTTAATTTTGAACCGGGTCCAGCTCATTCTTCTGATGCGCGTGCGCAGTAAGAAGCTCGCAGTAGAAGAGTACCTGCGGCCTGCAGGCTCTCTCATCCTATGTTCACCTTATCAACACCTGCAAAATGAAACCTGACACGAGAGGAGTTTCCCGGAGCGGAGAACAGTATGTCCTAACTGAGCGGTCTTTCATCGCACATCATCGCATCTGCATCCACATTCAAATCAGACACCATATATAAGAAGAAAGATAACAGCCCTGATTCTATATATATAAAGATGCGATTAAAGTTACAGCGATAGCGATATGCGTGTCCGACATGGGTCTTAGATTGTCCCACTTCTGCAAAACCAACAGCAGTTGAATAAACGGCCCTGTTTTGTCTGTAACGTTACAGTAAAAAAACATACACAAAATAGAGGAGGCTCACCTGAAACCTCGAGCTTCACAGGAGGCATGTCAGCGGTTAACGTGGATGGACACAACTGCTGTTCTCTAGGTCTGTATCCTGCTGGACCAATAGATCTGCGCTCCATGAGAGCTGCAGGCAGCAGCGGCACTATTACATAACCCGGTAATGTATAACAAGAAGGTTTGAGCATGCGCAAAGCAAATTTATTTGAGAAGCACTATGCTGATACTATTCTGACCACCTGTCCCTGAATGGACTTAGTGGATGAGGCTAAATTAGATGGTCAGTGAGTCTGGATGTTGACTTGTAAGAGCACTGTAAGGGAAGTTCGTCTGATCATGCACAAAGTAATCATGTATACTTCCCCTATGTTTGATCATGCTGAATCTGATCACCTCTGACTGAATGCATCCTGACTACCTAAATTAAGGAAATGCAAGTTTCTTATTAAAAGAAGCAACCAGAGGGGGATGACCAAGCCATAGTATATCAGAGAAAGAACAACATCGGGATGCACATTTCAACCTCTCGCTTGTCCTGAGTAGGCTACCAGGCTCTGAGCATTAAGAGGGTGACAATAAAACATTTTTGTCTCGTTCCTCATTGTGAGAGTGGGATTACAAAATTGCCACGACAGCACACAGGTGCGGATTTGCAAGAGCAGAGTTAGGTTTAGAGCCGTTAGGAGATGCAGGTGTGTGGGTGGGTGTGGCAGTCAGGTGATGTGGAACAGAAGGAAAGTCCTGAGGACAACTGGTGAATGGAAAAACAGGTCAATGGAGGGGCCTGGGAACGGAGATTGTGACTGAAGGAAAGGCAAACAAACTGACATGTATTATTTTATTAATGAACTGACATATTTATTTATCTCCAGCCTACTTATTTCACAAGAGAGACCACAGAGCTGTGCTTTCTGGCAGGTCAAGTGGACACCTAACAGCTAGTTAGCTGTCCATATGGGCCATGTGTCTATCTTGACTTGCAGACTGACCCAGATAATCTTTGTTAGAGGATTAAAGCAATGTCCCGGAGGAGGAGGACACCCTATACTGCTTGTATTCCTGTTATAAAGCTCCTACAACCTCGTAGGTAATGTATTTTTACTGTCTCACAACTGGTTTTATGACAAGGCTGAATATTCCTAATAATTGCAGTATCATGTCAGTAGACTGCACTAGCTAGCTTGCAGTAGATTTGTAAACATTTTTTATTCCTCACAGATTTAGTTAAAGATCTTGAGAACAAAGCGAGGAAACAACAGCTTCAGTGGTGCAGCGTGTAGTCTGTAGTCTAACAACAGGCAGCAGAAGACTGATTGTACCTCGAAGTTTACAAATTAACGTGATACATCTCATGTGGTAAAGCTGATTATAGTGTTGCACTGCATTTTAATTGTTTTGCTGTTGCTGTAAATATTGTTATTTTCTAATTATAATAATAGGAGTATGGCTATCTGGTTAATATTCCCTGTAAATAATTGCAGTATAAGTGTACTAAAGTACAATTTTGAGGTAAAGTTAGGTCTACTTGTACTTTAAGCTGTCTCTAATTAAGTATTAACGCTACATTTCAGAGAGAAAAATGTTATTTTCTCTTCAGTACATTTATTCAAGAGTTATAGTAACTAGTTACTTTTCAAATTGAGATTTTACATACAGGACATATGATCAGTTTGAATTTAGCTCCATCTTGATACATCAAATATTATTATTAATACATCAAATATAATGACCCTATAATGTGATGGTATAATACAAACAGTAGCAGCCACTCTGCGTTATGAGTACTTTTACTTTTGATACTTAAATTGAAATTTTGTGATTGGCAATATTATAGGCTGATTAGGTTAATAAAGCATAGCTAATAAACCTGTCTTAATTTGAATGTTGTTGGTACTGCACAGTGGCGAATAAATGTAAATAAAAGTATTTAAATGATATATGGCAGAGACACACAGAATCAGTATTCATGTAAAAACAGTAGAGCTGCAAAGGTTAGTCGATTAATCGATTCACGGAAATAATAATCGGCAACTATTTGGTAATTGAATAGATAAATCATATTTTTAGGATGAAACAGCCAAATTCTCTGGTTGTGAGGATTTTTCTGCTTTTCTCTGTTATCTTAATGTCATTATTCAAGTTTTGGACTGTTGGTCAGACAAAAGAAGTTGTCACTGTCATGAGGTGTGGTGATGGACTCAAATGCAGGACCATAGAGGTGAGAAACAGGTTTTAATGAGTATTGAACAAAATAGGAATCGTTACCAGAACACAACAGGGAGTCCAAGCACAAGACAAGAAATGAGGGGGAAAATCCGGCAGGACGAGTCAGGGCAGGCAGACTGGAAACCCGGGAACTGGACGAGATGAAATGATAAATCAAGTAAATAGTCAGATTAATCGATAATGAAAATATTTGTTATTTTCAGCTCTAAACATTGACAAGTCCCACCAATATACAGCAAAAATGTGCAACCAAAGTTATATCTTTACCACAATGATTTAAACAGTGTTGTTTGGTTATTTAGGGGTTATAAATCAAAAGAAGCAAGTTATCATACAATCACCACTCTGTATTCTTTGTGCTTGTTATATGACATAATGTATATCACAGTCTTTTTTCAACAGGACACATTACACCAGCTGGCTCTAATGCCGTCCTCAACGAGCTCTCCTCACTGGACTTTATCAGAGTTACTCGGGCAGCGCAGGCTGTTAGGGCTCGGGGCTCTGCTGGCGTGGCTTGTCCTCTTCCATCTCCTCGTGAATGTTTGGCTCCTCTGCGTCTTCACCAGTCTCTTGGTGGTTCTCGGAGGTTGGCTCGGGTCCCGTGCCGTGCTGGACGCAGACAGCCTTCTGCACCTGGAACACTTTTTGCCTCTTGGCAAACTCAACCCACCTCTGTATTCGCCCGAACACGAGTGGAGGTTGAACCACGAGATCCACAACGCTGTCCACAAAGCGGTGCGGGACTTCGTGTCCTCGTGGTACCGCACTCTCCTGCCAGAGGTGGAGGGGGAGTTTGAACGTGCGGTGCGTAACACGATGCTGGAGTCAGTGATGGAGCTGAAGGAGCGCGCGCGGCGAGTGGACAGAAAGGCGCTGGTTCAGCGGCTGCTAGAGCTGTACGGCTGTCACCTGCAGAGCTACATGACGGCGAGGCAGATACAGTCAACGCAACAGCAGAGCTTTGGCCTCTGGCAGCTCTACAGAGAAGTAGATGCCCCTCACCCGGCTGTGAGCAGTGCAGCCGCTGAGCTCGGCTACTCGAGAGCTCTAGTTAACCTCGTCTTACATGTGCTAGTTCCGTACCCCCATATGGAAACCAGGACTGGAGGTTACATGGTTACAGAGCTCATCACCTGCAACGTGCTGTTGCCGCTCATAAGCAGGGCGTCCGATCCTGACTGGCTCAACCAGACCATTGTAGACGTCATCACCAGGTCCAGGGAACCACAGGAGCTCCCGGCTGCGGCTGCTCTGTACAGGTGTCAGATCCAGCAGGAGTCCTGGACCACCTGCAGGTCACTGTCTTCCTCTGATCCGGCCAGCTTTAACAGCAGAAACACCTCTGACTTTGATGATCTGCAGAGCCAGAGTAGCATCTGTGAGAGGGATTCCTCGCAGGGCAGCATGGTCAGCCTGATGTCTGCCGGGAAAGTAGAAGGTTGCCCTGTGGGCTTGCTCACACCATGCAAAGTGAACTGCTGCTCCCTCACATCTGGCCGCTACTCCCACTCACCAGAGCCCAAAAGGGTTTCATTGGACTCCTTGATTCAGTCGGACTCCGAAGACGACCTGACGGGAGGCTTTTGTGACTGCGGCTCTCCGACGAACATCTGCAACGCGATCACTTTAAAGGACGATGAGGCTTTCGGGTGCTTCGGTCCTCTGAAAAATCTTGGGCCCAAGATGGCGGTGCCCGAGGACTCCCAGTGGCCAGCAGGCATAGCCCAAGAGAAATCCCCAACATGTCCTCCAAGAAGACTTTGTCTGACCTCCTGCAACTTTGATACCCCCAACATCCAAGCTGCACCTGTGAACATCCAGAATGTGCAAATTTGTGGCACTGTCGCTTCAAAGGAGCAGCGTGGCACAGGCACATATCCCTACACTCTCTACACTGTAAAGGTAACGCCACCTCTTACTTCCTGATATTTGAATATGTATTATCGATGAGCCCACATTGACCTCCGCTTTCCGCTTTACAGTTCGAGACGATGGCTGCCGCGGAGAACGCTGAAACTCTGCAACCTGTGTCCTGTCACACTGTCAACCGGAGATACAGCGAGTTCCTCAATTTGCAAACACGTTTGGAGGAGAAGCCTGAGGTCAAGAAAGTAATCAAGAGTAAGTGACTATCATCCTCTTTAATTGACCGTTGAACTTCAGTATACGGAGAAAGGTGCATCAATGCAAATCAATGTCATGTATTTCAGATGTCAAAGGCCCAAAGAAAATGTTCCCCGACCTCCCATTTGGCAATGCAGACAGCGACAAGGTTGAAGCCCGTAAAGGCCAACTGGATACGTTCCTTAAAGTACGTATATTGGGATCATAACTTCTGTCATGAAAGGATTGATGCGATTCTGTAATTTGATTGCCTTGTTTTCTTTTTTCAAGCAATTAAGCAGCATTCCTGAGACATCCAACAGTGAGGACATGCAGGAGTTCCTGGCTCTCAACTCAGATGTTTGCACATATTTTGGAAGAAAGCCTTTTGCCAAGTCGAGAATCGATAAGGTCAGAGAGAATCTTCATGCTGTAGGTGTTGTGAGAGTTATTGTAAGAAACGTACGAGCAGCTTATCATTCTCTGATAGAAGGAGGTTTTTGTCCCTTTCTTCCCAAGAGGTAGAGGAGAAGATTGATTGAACATTGATGTCTGTGTATGTGTCAATATGACTCCATATTGATATGGAGCTGAAGCCAGCTGGTTAGCTTATCTCAGCATAAAAACAGCTAGCTGGCTGCAAGTTTAAAAAAAAAGAAATCTGTCTAAAGCTTGTTAATCAAAACTATAGATTCAATGGAAAAGTATGATCTATGTATTTTGTTTCGGGGACTTTAATTATTTCCTGTCTTCTCCGTCATTAAAGATGATGGAAAATGCTTTAGACACCTTGAAGACAGCGTTCCCTCATCCTGAGCCCCTCAGTCCAATGGAGGACCTGGAGGGAGATGCTGACGGAAGAACA